GCCGCGGGCGCGGCGCGTCCAACAGGAAGCGCCCCGAACCCAACAGCCGGCGGATCCCGCTGTCCCCCGCGGGCGGCCTGCAGACGCGCTCCGTGCGGTGCGCCCGGCCGGGGCTGATGGCAGCAGCGCGAGCCGCGGATGTCCCGCCAAGGTTCGTGGAAAATGGCTTCTGTGCATGCGCCACCGCGGCCGTTGAGACCCCAAACCGACGCCTCGGAGTCGGGAGCCTGGAGGGATGGGGCCGCGCCCCGGCACCCCGGTTCCCCGACCCCCCGGCGCGGACCCCGAGGACGCACGACGCGGCCGCACGTGTGGCTGCGGGCGGGCAACGTCACGCCGCGGGGCTGCGCGGGCGGGCGCGGCGTCGGGGGCGGGGCCCGGAGGTCACTTGCGCGGCGGCTGCGCGTCCTCCGCCCGCACCCCAGGCTTTGCTCCTCAACTTGAACTTGGCGGCTTACTCCCAGGTAGGAGATCCGAGGACCGCTGCTTCCCCAAGGTGGCACCTTGGCTGTCGCAAGGAGCAGGGCTCCGCGATGTGAGTTAGGAAAGGACTACAGCTAGGCACTGACGTGATGCCCGCATTTCAGGCTCAGGTGTGGTTGGTGGAGACTTGTGTGCAATGGAGAAGAAGAACTTAAATCCAAATCCGTGAGTGAATTGGATCGATGTTGCAGTGAGACAGAAGGAAGGGCCCCTGGACACCTCCATTATCACCTCCCAAGAATTATAAATTCAATTATAACATTCAGTAGCACCGAACTGTTCACATGAAATAGTTAAGTTGGTAAATTTTGGTACATCTGCTTTATTATAATAAAAAATTAAGAAGAGGTCAGGCATGGTGTCACAAGCCTATAATCCCTGCATTTTGGAGGCTTAGTTTGGATGATTGCATTTTGGAGGCTTAGTTTGGATGATCCTGATTTCAAGGATAGCCTGAGCTATATAGTAAGAACCTGTCGGAAAAAAAAGTGACGGAGTAACAACTTATATGCATCAATACTTAAATGTCACAAATCACAGGTTGGTCTACATACATACTCAGCAACCAGCATCTACTCCTGACCAGTGAATGAGTCACCAAACATCACTCTGACCAAGTGGGATTTGTTCCATGAATATAAGGTTGGTTCAACACTAATTAATATCATACACATTAAAAACAAATTTAAGGAAAAATCAGTATCCATAGATACTGAATGGATATTTGACAAAATTTAAGGCCCATTCCTAATTTCAAAATAGGAAATTTCAAGCAAATAGAAATTAAAAGATAAATTCTCAAAATGTATTTATGTACATATGTATGTGAATGGATGAGAAGATAGGTAGTTAAATAGGTAGGTAAGTAGATAGACAGATAGATAGATAGGAAGATAGATAGTTAAGCTCTTATTCATATTAGTCCCATAAAAACTATCTTAGTCAGGAAACACTGGAGTCATTTCCTCTGAAAGAGGCACAGAAAAGGATGCAACTATACATCCACTACTACTCAAGATTGTCATAGAGTTATTAGCAATGCAATTAAACATGATGCATGAATCAGCGAAAGGCAATATAATTGTAAAGAAGTAAAAGCATGTCTATTTGCAGATGATATTACAGCCCAGGCAGATGTGGTGGGAAATGACCCTCAGGAACTGGACTGCACAACTGTGTGCATCCTATCAACATAGGCACAGTCCCCTGCTGCCAAGGTCACATTTATGTTGGCGGGTGACTGATACAGCTTTCCATCATTGCTATATGTGACCACGTACCTGTCTTAGTTCCCCACTCTTCTTCAACAGAATGCAACAGTTTGCAGAAGAGCATGTTCTTCACTTTTGTGATTTCTATGGAGGGACAAGTCCCATTTGTTCTCATCATACATTGAGTGGAGTGAATTATTAATGACCACATGTCTCCCTCTAACCACTTCATGCCCATGGGAGTATAAATTGTGTTGAGTGGAAAGTCACTGTGCTAGCTAGGTTTTGTGATATCAGGAACAGTGAGCCCCACTTGCAAATCAGTTTCCTGTCCTCTGAACGGCTTCCAGAAAGGCAGAACCTGTCTGACCCTGCCCAGCAGGGGTCACCCCAAAGCACATGGTTAGTCCATAGTCTGTGGAAAGCTATCAAAGAATTGTAGACAGTTCTTTCCTTCATATCTTAAATTCTCAAATTGGTACTGCCCACCAGTTGCTGCTTTCCAAAGTGCTAAAATGATAGCATCCTACACATGACAAAATACACAGTCCTATAGAAATATGTACATATTGTCAACTATATATATACTTGCTTTCATCCACAACTGTCCTTGTACCCAGCTGCTCTTATGTTCTCCCTTTATATTTCAATGTACCATTTGGCTCTGCGAGAAACACCTCTAGTACAAGCTCATCTTCAGGAGCAAAAAAAATCTGGTTAACACCAAAACAGAGGACTTAGATACTTTACTCTGTGAGTACCTAAAAGAAGTCTCTAAATATGTCAGTAAATGTGACAAGTTCAAGGGAAGAGGAATGGTATGTTCTGAAATGCCCTGTCTTGGCTATTTAAATCATTTCTGAAAACTCTACTAGGATTTGATATCTTGTGCAGTTAACACTGTCCACCAAAGATACGTGGCTAGAAACTCTGCACCAGGTTGCATTATATTTAGTGTGACAGTGCCTTAATTTTCCTTCTTGCTTCTGGTGTCATTCCTCTATAAGACTTTCCCCATGTGACCCATAAAAGTAGGTGAAAGTTGTTGGGTAGAAATAAAGGAAAACAAATGTCAAAAGGTTTTCTGTTTTAAAACTGTTACTAATGCATTAGGGTCCATATTTTGAAATACATATGATTACGTGACTATGCTGTTGTTTACATATACATTTATCTTTTGGATCTGTCTTTGAGATAGGGTCTTGCTTTTTGCCCAGGTGGACCTCAATGCTCCTATTTAAGATTCCTAATGTCACTGGGATGCCATACCCAGCATTTTTCCACTGAGACGAGAAATCTCATAAAACATTTCTGACTTTGCTGACCCGGAACTGCGATACTCCTGATCTCAGCACCCCAAATAGCTAGGATTACCGGTGAGAACCCATGGTACTGGATTCTTTTCTTTTTAATGGATGTGCATTTGGTTATTTTATACTTCCCCAATGACTAATTTATTCGGCAAAGCTTTGTAGTTACAAGGGATAAGTGTTTTACTTCTTTGCTTTAGTTTATCCATAAGTATTTTGTTCTTTTAATACCATTAAAGAGAAATTGTTCTAATTTTTTTCTCAGATTGCTCACTGTCAATGTAAAGAAACAAGGATTTTTGTGGGATGCATATGTATCTTTCTTTGCTGAATTTGTTTGCTCTAACAACTTTAGTGTGTCTATAGGCTTTCAACATGCTAAATTAGTTCATCTGTTTTTCTTCAACCTATTCAAGACTTTGATCATATCTGGGGAGGCTGGGGACATTATTTCTACAACATTTCCTCTACCTCTCTCTCTTCTTCTGAGATTCCCACACTGTGTGTCTTGGTATACTTGGTGGTGTTCCTTAAGTCTCTCATGTTCTGTTGCTTTTCATTATTTACCTTCCTGCTCATCTGATTGGATAACCTTCTTTTTGACTTCCGTGGAGAGTTTCCATTTCAGTTTCAGTACTTTTCAGTTCTGGAACTTCCTTACGTTCCCTTTATAATTTCTCTTTATGGATATTCTTATTTTGTTCAAATGTTGCTTTCCTGGTTTCCTTCATTTCTTTGTCCATGGGTTCCTTACTCATTCAACATACTGAAGACATTGATTAAACCTCTTGGACTAATAATTCCAAGGCCAAGGCATCATAAGGAATGGGTTCTGACAAATTATTTTTTCCTATCAATGAGCCATCCTTTCCTGATTCTTTGTATGTTTTGTAGTTTCAAGACAGACATTCTGAATATTACATTTTGGTAACTCATGAAATATAACTCACTTCTCAGGGACCGCTGACTTTTATTTTTAGGGCTGGACGGTCCATTTGTGATTTGGGCCAATTATTTTTTGCAAAGTGTGTATTCCTTATTGTGTGTGGGTGCTGTTCTTAGGTTGTTATCTCTGAATTCAGTCAGTGGACCAACAAAATTCCCTAAATATCTCCAAAAAGGAGGATGAAATGCCTTTTAAATCCCCTCAACAGGATTTTGGGGAGCTTTAAACAATAGCTAAGATACTTACCAACCCTTCCGATGTCTAAAGCAGTGTTCATACCCTGGGTTTTTAGGACAAGGTCCTTATTGCTCACCCTGGCACCAAAAGCCTCACTGGAGTATGGACTGCTATCCACAAAGTTGCCTGCCACAAGCTTGGGGATGGAAAATGGGAGCTGCTACATGAAATGCTGGAATTCTCCCTAACCTAAGAGCCTCTTCATCAGGATCACCTTGGGTATTGCCAGTGTTAGACAACATTCCTGTGTTCCTTAATGGTGACTTATGATAGTTGTTGTCAGCTGTATTGTTGTTTTAGTAAAGGGATGGATTCCTGGATCTTCACTAACCTTCCATCTTCCATCTGGGCTCTGTTTTTCTCAGATATTAAGTAGGCATGTTGGATTAGATCAATGAGCTGAGAATCCCTGGAGAACATAAAAAATTATCAATGCAAATATCCCCACCCATACACCCACACAGGATCTGATTGCTGTGGACAGGGTGGAATGTCCCTGTAACAATCCCCGAGGGGATTCTTTCGCTTCCAGGAGGTGGCCCTGCTGCTACTTGGCTCACTCTTCCAGGAGAATGATCCTTTCCAAGTGTTTATCTTCTACATTTTGCTTTATTACTCAGGACTTTGTCACTTAAAGGATCTGATTCTAACCACAAGGCAAACTGCTTGCCTTCCCCTCAAAGCGGAAACAGTGATCTGAGAGATAACCAGTAATAAGCAGGTGACTCTTAAAATACAGCCTGATGCTTTCACATGAGAAGGCAGCTTACCAAATATTTTAGCCAAATGTTCTTCATGCTCATTTAAGTTTGACCCAAAGTCAGAATTGTATGAGTTCTTATGATGGAGATGACCTATATGAAGAAAAACCTTATCTGTGATTAAATCTTTCATGGAATCTGCATGTATGATTTTTACAGTCATATTCTTCTGCAAGGTATTTTGAGAGGAGCATTTGCCTGCAGCCACCTATTCTCAGTGTCTCAAAGCATCTATGAATTGTCTACAAGGACCTTAAGTTCCAACAAAAGCTCATTTTTTCACGTGGTTTCCTGACAAGTAAGTGAGAAATTTGTGCACACAGCATCTTTAACTCTACAAGATAGTTGGTAGAGGGTTATATATGATGCATGCTAAATGACAGGAGGTATGACTGCTTTCATCCAATGAATTACAAACACACTGTTCTCTATAAATGAGACATTGTCAATCACTAGGAATAAATATACTTAACTCTGTAAAGCACTTTGCTAAAAATGAGTTCATCATAGAGTCATCCAAGGGTGTTTATTTCAGACTGGTGCTGAATAAACTAGGAAGGTCATACAGGAAAATACTGAGTTTTTCTTAAACAAGTATCTTATGAAATACATTGGCAATGCCATGAGTTATAATATTGCTTTACTAATAGTCTTAGGATTGCAATAAAATCACATACCTAGTATCCTGGTAAAGAATGACTTATTTTCAAATTTCTTCTTAATGGAAACAATTTCTCTGTTATTTGTGAGTAATATGGGGCTGATGTGCATGAGTTGTTTTGTTTTGTTTTGTTTTTCTTCTTTTTTTCCACAAGTATTCTGCTGGAATCTCTAGCTTTGGCATAGGCTAAAGGAGAACTCAGCTGTGGTGTCCTGAGCAAATATTTTACAAGGGCTGAGGCAGGGGTGTCAGTGATGGGAGGTATGTGGAAAGGCAATGCTCTGCCAGGAAGTAAATGGGGCACTTGCGTGCAGTAAACTCAAATGCAGTCATGAAAGAGAAGTTATTACACTTTGTGTATAAAGTTCCTTGGAAGAAACAGTGAGCCCCACTTCCAAGTCAGATTTTTGTCTCAGAACGACATCCAGGTGGCAAAGTCTGCCTGACTCTTCCCATGATGGACTGCCCCATAACACAAGGGTGGTTACCTGACTCCATAGTTGGTGGACTGTTATAGGAAGGATTTTAGACAGCTCTTTCCTTCACATCTCAATTTGGTACCACCCACCACTCACTGGCTTCCAGAATGCTAAAATGATAGCATCCCACACCTGATAAGACACTCAGGCCTATAGAAATATGGGCACTTTGAGCATCAACCACATAAACTTGCCTCCATGCCCAACTCCCCCTGTAATCAGCTGACCTAATGTTTTTGCTTCATACTTCAGTGCCTCATCACTCATGCCTATAATCCTAGCTACTAGGATTACAGAAACCTCCTTTAGGAGGGTGAGATCAGGAGGATCAGGGTTCAAAGCCATCCTGGGCAAATAGTTTACAAGACCCTATTTCAAAAAAAGCCTATCACAAAAAGGGGCTGGTGGAGAGGTCCTGAGTTCAGATTCCAGTACCATAAAAAAAAGAAAAAGGAAAAGAGAAGAATGTTTACCTTTGCTCCAAAGCAGTAGGGACAGGTGACCTGGAGACAACCAAGGACAAATAGATGATTCCAAATACAGTCCAAAAATGTCGCAGAAGGGGGACACTTACCAAATATTTTAACAAAGTCATCATCTAGATTATTTGCACTTGAGGAAAATTCACAATTTGAACCTGTGGAGAAAATAAGCCCTAGCTGTGATTAAGTCTTTCACTGGATCCAGATGTATGGTCGTTACCTGTATTGATGGGGAGATGTTCTAAGACCCCAGTGGAAGCCAGAAACTGTGGTCATTCTGAGTCCTGTCCATGATTTTTCTTTGTTTGTTTGTTTCTTTTGTCTTTTGAGGTTTCTCTGTATGGCCCAGGCTGACCTTGAACTCTCAGTACTCCTGTCTCAGCCTCGAGTGCTGGGATTACAGTTCTGAGTCACTACACCCAGCTTGTTTGGTTAAATCACCAGTAAACCCAGGAAGGATCAGATCACAGAAAACATTTGGATTTTTAAGTGTCCTGACAAGAGAAGTCACTTTCTCCCCTTCTCTTGCTATCCTCTGACAGCACACCCCTTCAGAGGATGCAGCCCCTGAGCTGTGTGGCACTAGTGGCCTTCTTTCATCGTTTTCGTACACATCTCCTGAAATCCATGGCAGGTGACAGTTTTGTTTTGTGACTTTGGAATGTGTGATTGATGGAAAACAATGCTGGATTTCCTCTACTACCAGGTTTGTGTCAACAACTTTGACTCTTCTTACAGATTGAGAGAATTTCCTTGAGTGTGCTCAGCCAATCACTTTAGTAAGTAGCAAGACCCCCAAAATGGAGGAATCCTAATGTTGCTTTGGAAAAGCTATGTTCATAAGAGCGCTATCCATAATACCAAAATTTCCATCAATTCATAAACAGATAAACAAAATGTAGTATATCCATACAATGGAATGTTATTCAGTCAATAAATGGAAAGTGGTGACCTGTGACTTCACATCACCCCCCCATACAAACCTATGTCCAAATCTCCTCTTACAAAACACCAGTCATATTGAATGAGAGTCCAGCCTAATGATCTCATTTTAACTTAATTATCTCTGTCAAGACTCTGTCACTATATACACTGACATTCTGAAGTCCTTGGGGTTAGACCTTCAATATCTGAATTTGGGAGAACACAATTCAACCCTTGTCACCCGTTCATGGCCATAGCATAAATCTTCTTTCTCTAACACGCATTCAGGAAAGCAAAAACTAGTACAAAAATTACTAAAACAGCATGCAACAACACAAAACCCATACCTTCAGTATCACTAAAACAGAAAATGGCCAACTTCAAATGACCAGTAAGGAAATAGAAAAACAAATGCTCACCTGAGCTATGGCTCTTTCACTTCTGGTCTCTGTGAAGAGAAACATGACAGCCCAAGATGAACTAAAATCACCACTTTGCATTTGGAAATGCTGAAAATAGGTCTTGGTAGATCCCAACAAATCTGTGGGGGCGGGAAAGACCTGGGAATAAAGACTGCCACAGAGCAAGACCCTGGCAGGCCTAAGCGTGTGCTGGGGAATGAAGTCGTTTGGGAGCCACTTGCCTGGAAGCTTTCACACAATTCTGCGGCTTATTTCAACCAAAGCAGTGGAAAAAAGGGCAGCTCCACAGTCCAGATGCATTACCACCCATTAGCAATCCTCTCTATTTTCACACAGTCCCAAATCTGAAACCTTTCTGACCTTCTCTCTGCTGGCCCCTTCCCTTCCCTCCTATCTCATCACATCACCAGAGGAAGAGAAGAGCTGTCTTGCCACCCACACATATGTGGCATATGGACAGTTTATCTTTATGGAACCATCGTAAGAGGGGCTCAAGTGGCTTAAACTGAAAAGCACTGACTCCTTACTTGGCACACAAATAACTAATAGCAAGAGGAAAGCATGGCATGTGCCCTCCATTTTGTGTCTGTGTTTGCTGTAAGCCATTCTTTCCAGGCACTTTTCAATCACCTTGTATGCCAGCAAAGACACGTAACATCTTCATGGCAAGGGACAGAAACTACACCCAATAGTAGAACTTTAGTTGGATGAAGCACCTGCCTGGCTCCAGATGACAAATCCGGAATCTGACCACTCCAACTTCATCTGTAAATGAACTGTTTAACTATGCATATATTTGTCCCTTGTCCCCGGGTCTTTTGCCTACTTAAACCTGAAGCTCATATTTGATGGCTAAAGATGAGCTGAGTGCTTACTCTCCCTCTTCCCATGCCACGTCCAGAGCCGTGTAGTACATCTCCTCACTCTGCCTTCACCATGCCTCTTGATTTAGGATTTAGGAGTGAGTGGCTGAACCTGGCATGTGGAATCTCAGTGTGTGGTCCTGGGATCCAAAACTCCAGTTTCACCTGCAGACTTTCTCTGCCTGACTTCTCTCATTTCCACACAGATTTGCTGAGGAGCTAGGCATGAGGGAGAAGCATCAACTTTTGGGTTTTTCATTTGCTCATTTTGTCTTGTTTCAAGATGGGGTCTCTCTATGTTGCCCAGGCTGGCTCCAAACTCCTGGGTTCAATTTATTCTACTGCCTCAGCCTCCTGGGAGGTTGGGACTACAGGCATGTGCCACCACATTCAACTCCAAGACATCTATTTTTATGCAGTCACCCAAGTCTAGAAGGAGAGTCAACAAACTCTGTAAAGAGAAAATTTTTTTGGCTCTGTTGGCTACAGACATGTGTGCAGCACATTCTTCTTTGTGGATGATGTTACAATCCTTGAAAACATAAACTTTGGGAAAAAAGTGAATGATATCAAAAGCTGGGTTTTTTAATGAAAAAATCAATAAAATATAAATCCTCTAGACAGACTGACCAGGGTGAAAGAATCATAATGTCATGAATAAGAAAGTAACAATCTCAACAGATACTACACACATGAAAGGGAAATCATGAGTACATAATGCCAGATCACTCAATAAGTTGAAATGGAAAAATTCCTCTTCAGACACAAACTAACACAGTCCACTCAAGAAGAAATAGCCAGGCTTCTCCAGAGGCTGAAGCCAGTTAGAGGCTAGTCAGGGCAAAGATGTTTGTGAGTGCGCTTCTTAATGGAAAGAGCAGAGAGGCGGTACTGCCTGTCATTCCATGAACGAGAGGAAGTGTTAAGCAGGAGGATCAGCTTCCAGGGTGGGAAGTGAATGCATGAAAGATTCTCAAGCTATACAACATGATAAGCCTTTAGAGAAAGGCACAATCGAACATAATGACAGGGTTTAAAGAGGAAAAAAAGTCTGTAACAACACCAAATGTTACCCATTTGAAGAAACTGGAACTCTCCCACCATTGTTGGTGAGAACGTAAACTGGCAAACACTTTGCACAATAGTTTATCATTTTCTTAAACTGTGAAAACATGTATTGGCTATCTGATCCAGCACTTGTAGACCCAATAGAAACAAAAGTCTATGTCCACTCAAAGACTTGTACATCAGTCTTCATAGTGGCTTCATTTGCAATAGGAAGAAACTAGAAAAGCCCAAATATCCATAACAGGTGAATGGATGAATAAACTCTGGTATGTCTGTTTAGTGAATAATTACTAAGCAATTAAAAGGAGCAGACATGTTTGCAACAATGTGAAGTAACCTCAAAATAATCATGCTGTATCTGTATGAAAGAAGCCAAACAACAAAAGAAGTACACTGTGTAGGAGTCCATTTATATACCACTCTAGAAAACAGCAATCCTATAGTAGAGAAATCTGGCAGAATGCTTGCCTGGAAATGGGGAGTAGGAACAGAGGGGAGAGGGAGGGATTACAAGGAATTCTATAAGGAAACTTTTGGGGCAATGGATATCTTTTTTTTTCCTCATGGTACTGGAGCAACCCCTGAGGCTTGCTAAGCAGGCACCCGAGCACTTCATCTGTGCCTTTGGCCCTTTTGTTTTTATTAATTTATTTTTATTTTGTTTTTAAGATAGGGTCTCCCTAACTGTGGCTTGGCTGGCTTCACACTCAGGATCCTCCTATTTCTGCCTCCTGAGTAACTGGTATTGCAGGTGTTTTCCATCACACCTGGATTCTCCATTATGGTGATAGTGACAATGATTTCAAGGGATATTCATACATCAAAACTCATCAAATTATACCCTTTATACTTGGGTTTCTCACATGTCACTTATAATTCAATAAAGGAAATGCAACTTAAAACAAGATGGCCCTATTTTTCCCTCTTTCAAAATACAAAAATTAAACACAATGATAGGATTCTAACTGTAGGGTGACAAATTACACATAGACATCTAACTTCAATTTTTCCACTCTTCTAAATCCTCAAGGTGCTAGCAAAAACACCTTAGGAGGGATCCAAACAAAATCAAAGAGCATGCACTCAGGCTGCCTCCCATTGCAGCAGTTAACTTGGGTGACAGGATTTGCTTAATATTGTGGTTGCTCACTACTTTCTCTTGTAAACCAGGAGGAGGTAGCATTGTGTCCAGCACTCCATCATCTCACTCTCTTTGGGTGTGTGTGGTGCGAGGAGTTTTGAAGTTCTTCCCACTAGGAGTGTGGTTGAAGATCTGGGATGTGGAAAACCTCTTCTTGGACAGGTGAACTTATAAATCTGCCCACTTCCAGCCAGGCCTGTGCACCTGCCCAGCAACACCCACCTTCTACTGCCAGTGTCCCCTTTAACAAGCATGCTATGACAACATCCGCTGACACCAAGCAGGGGATGGTAATGCCCTACCCCTTCTTCCCAGCATCTCAATTGTTCACCCAGCTCTGGAGGCCCCGCCCCTTCCTCCTTAGCCTCTGGGTGCCTGCTGTCAATTAGGCCACCTTCCAGAAGGCCATGTGTGTTTGCTGTTGGTCACCTTTTGGGCGCTAGTTGGTCAAGCACTCTGGGGGGAGCTGCAGCTGCATTCCCACTGTACTGGGCCACCAGTTCCTTCTGAAGCCCACCTGCCTGGCAGGGCTGGGCCTGCATGACCATGGAGTCCTCCGAATTCACAGCCAACCAGCCTGTGATCATCCATAAGGTGAGGTCCAACAACCTGAGGACAGCAAGCACCCCACCTCCGAGGCCACCTGTGGTGGCTTTGGAAGCCCTGCCCTACCTGCTGTGCTTGTCCACCCCTCACTGAGAGTTGAGCTGGAGTGCAGGGCTTCTAGATTCCAATGCCAAGGTGAAAGGGACAGGTGTGGGTAGAAAAGCCTTGAGGCCAGCCTACCACTGCAACTCTGGAAGTCCAGGGAGCTGAAGACAGGTGGTGCACCTAGGCCTCAGGCCAATGGACTCTTTCTCAGCCCTTTTTGGTTGAGAACGAATCACTGGGCAGATTTCCAACCAAGCCCTGTTGTTTTGCCTTCTGCCCTGGCTCTGGCTGCCTGATGAAGGTGGGCTGGCATTATTTGCCCTTTTGCACACAGCTGGCCTCATCTTTTAGAGGTGGTTGCCTTGGTGATCTTACAGCACTTCCCAAGACGCTGCACCCAGAGGGGAAAAAATGCAAGTTACTCTACCAGCCACATATCCATCACAACCTGGTTGGCATCTCAACTTCTTTGACCCTCTCTCCTTTAAGGCCCTCTGTGCAGAGCAGAAATTCCACCACCTGCAAGTGCAGAGCCCAGGGCCACTTTTCCTAGGATCAAGAAAGCAGTTTGGGCTAATTGTTTGGAAGTCTGAGAAGAAAGATGTCTGGCTCCCTGCGACTTTCCTTGAGCACGGGGACTCTGCTTGCTTTTAGCTGCCCTAGAAGGATTTCTGGCCTGACATGGGAAGAAGATGAGGGCTGGAGTCTATGGATGTGCCCCTAGCTGATGCTTCTCATGAACCTGCCTTGGAGATTTTGACCCTAGCTCACTAATGCTCTTTCTGAGCGCTGTCTCCATTAATGACTGCCTTTTGTATCCACGTGGGCTGCTCTGAGTAACAGCAGGGGATGATGGCAATGATGCTAGACCTGGGCTTGGTTGTGCTGTAGACCTGCTGTCCAGCCTGCAGCATGAATGGCCAGACTACTTCCCTTCCTGGTGGGCAGATGACTCACGGCTAAAAACAAGCGTTTGAGTTCAGAGGGCAACCTCCTGACCCCTTTGGGCTTCCAGCCCCTCCTCTGTAAGTTGGCGGCATTTATTGCTGCACCACAGACATGGAGGGTTGGGGTGGAGATTGGCGGGAAGAGGGGTTGAGAAGCCAATTCCTTCATTGGGTGGGAAGTTTCTAGGTGTCACATTGATTTTGAGATTCTAGGTCCAGCTTCTAGGCTGGAGCAGTGGCAGGACCAAGATCTCATAGTGTCCAGGGAAGCCACTTGAGGAAAGGTGACAGTTGACAGTTGTCCCATGTATCCAGTAGTCTTTCCTAGCAGGCCTTGTATGTGGTCCAC